ATTAACATTCGAAATAGATCCGAAATGGTCATTCCGATAATTTTTTTTTGTCGTCGCTTCGTAGTTTTTGTTACATTGCGGCGCGTAACAGCGTAACGCTTTTTTGGTAACACTTTTTGACATTTTCATGTCTTAGCTCTGGCACATAACCGAAAAAAGCGTTACTAAAAGAGCGTTACCAAAAGAGCGTAACGAAAAAAGCGAAAGGGATGGGGACGGGAGTGGAATAGGGGGTAGGAGATAAGAGTGAGATTTAGCCGGTAAATAACCGAAAAAAAGAGTTACCAAAAAAGCGTAACGAAAAAAGTGTTACGCTGTTATCTGATATGAGATAGGAGATAGGAGTAGCGGATAGGGGGGAGTGATAGGGACGAAAAATAGTGGGTAGGGGATAGGGGTAAGATATAGATAAGAGATATGTTGTACGTTCAACGTTCAAATTAGAACTAAATAATAAATTTAAAATAGTTTAATTCTCTATATATTAAACTATGTTAACTTACTTTTGGCCAGATAATAAACACTACAATTTTAGCCAGAAACATGATTGTACATCATTTTTTAATCTCCTTGGCTTATGCTGTAACTGGTAGCTCCATATAATTTTTTTTTGACATTTTCATGTCTTAGCTCTGGCACATAACCGAAAAAAGCGTTACCAAAAGAGCGTAAAGGAAAAAGAAATGGGGTGGGTATGGGAAAGGGGTGGAATTAGCTATGGCAAATAACCGGAAAAAAGTGTTACCAAAAGAGCGTTACAACACGGTGATGGGTTGGAGGTGGAAATAGGGGTAGGAGATAATGGGTGGGATATAGAGGTGGGGATAGGGGTGAGTTATAGGGGTGGGATATAGGGGTAGGGGATAGGGGGTTAGTGATAGGGGTAAGATATAGGAGATAAGAGATATGTTGTACGTTCAACGTTCAATTAGAACTAAATAATAAATTCAAAACAGTTTCTGAGCCCAATTTTTCTATGTATTGTTTTAAGCCAGATAATAAACACTACAATTTTAGCCAGAAACTTTACGTTTTATTATACTAGCTTGTTACCGCTCGTTAATATACTATATCATTATCTATAATTCCACCACTACTCTAAAAATGCCTTACGCCGAAGGATCTAAGATTATCTTTCACTCTATCAGTGGAATTTATCAATGGATGTAACGTTAAAATAGAACCGAGAACATAATAGCTTGGAATTTAAAATGTTTAGGTGCGTTTTGTTCAAGTAATTAATTAAAAAATAAATTGTTATGTACTGGAAAATGTTTTGGTGTAAAAAAAAACACTGGGTTATTATTAACACTGGGTATTATTTAACTCCCTTTCATATAATATTATAATGGTATTTATTATTATAAATAGCAAATAAATATGTATCTTAATACTTTTCGTGTTCATTATTTATAGTAGTTAAGCATAGCTCTAGAGTTTATCTGTGGATGTTACGTTAAAATAGAATAAAGATCGTATTGATTAATTAAAAATATTTAGATATGTTTTAATTAAGGTAGAATTTACTTTGATTCTTTACTGTTTTAAAACAAAATTGAAATACACTTTGTTCTTTTAATAACATAATAATACACAAAAAACAAAACTCTTTGTAGATCATAAAACATGTATTAGAAATTAGGTAGTGTTTTGTTTCTCAGTATATTTTTATTAGCTTTGAATATTGAATGATAGGGTGTACCTACTTAAAATAATATTCAACTATATTATAATACGTTTTTTTTTTTATTCTAATGATGAGGCATCATTAAACATATAAATGAATATATTTAACCAATGTATTTTATAATAATCATTACGATATTGTGAGATTGATTTTGTTGTCAACATCATTGTTTTTTGTAAATATCTTAAAAGGAAATACACTAAAATTTAAAACTCAATTGTTATGGACTCGAAAATGTTTTAGTTTACAAAAAAGCACTTACCTCTATGTACATTAATAACGATTGATAAATGTTTGTTAAAGTTATAAAATTATTATTATAATCTATATTTTTAAAAATGAATGAATTCATCCGATCGCCATGAAACTTTGGGAAGCTGATGAGTACACTCCTGCAAAAGTAACTTGCATAGGTCTTGTCGAAAATTCCACCCCTAAGGGTGTCCTTAAACACGAATTTTGTACTTAAAATACAAAATATTTTTCGTTGCTAACCCGAAATAAACACTTGGTTTGTTACAATAGTAACCAAGGTACTCGAGCGAATGGTAGGTGATGAATAATGGAACAGACCTATTCAGGGGACGCTATTAAACATTGGAAATAGTACACTTGAGTAAGAGGGGGGCATAATCAATAAAATGTAATATACATATGTATATCCAAAAAAAAACCGGGACGGGGTATGGTAAAGCTTTACAATATACAACCTAGAGTACTGAGTTTTTCTATCTTATTTGTAATTATCTTACTCAGCTCTCGCAAACTAAATCCCAGGCGACGCCGGATCCGCATAGCTTGTAGCAAATAAATATGTATCTTAAGAGGGCGTTATACCTTTTAAAAACAATCGTAAAAAAGTTGTTTACGATAAAGGGTGTAGGTCAAAGCGAATCGGTAGAATAAAAATGTTGGTACCTTTAAAAAGAGGAAAACTTTAACAAGGTTCTTTAGTCGGTTTCTATAAAAAAACTTTAATTTTCCCTACAATACAAGCACTTAAAAAAGTTAAAAAAATGTCAGAATTAAAATACAAATTGTGAATGTTGGGTTAATTATATCAAAAAAAGTTCTTACTATTTTAAATATGTAAAAAAAATTTTCGATACCTATGAACTTTAGAGTTGCTTTAGATTATTTTTTAAATTTTGACTTTTGAATATTAATACATAAAACTTTACTCTCTTTTTAAATAATTAAAAAAAAAAAATAGTTATGAGCAATAAAAAAACATGGTGCTTAAAATGCAAATGAGTATAAATTAATTTTAAAAATTAAAGTTAAAAATATTCACTAGAATAAAAGTTATAATGGACTAAGCCTACGCACGACGTTTTAATAATTTTTAATTTCCTTTATATAATGTACACTTAGGCTAAAAACTAAATCGTTGAAGCCTGTATTTATCTCAATACACAAAAAAAAAAAGTTATTTGTTATTTGTCTTTTTTCGTGGGATACCCTGTATAATATAATTTCATCAGCAACTGAAAACATGATTTTTCCATTTCAATAAGTATGTTTTATTTTATTATTTTAGTTTATGACTGGTTAGGACAATTCTAGCTTCTACTAGAGACAAGAGTTGCTATCGTGGGAAAGTGGTTTATAGTGCTTGGTGGTTTCCCGTTGCCTTCCGCACCAGTCGCGGCTGGTGGCTGGCTATTTCTCTCTCCAGACGGTTGTGCCAGCCCAACTAGAGAAACGGCCAGCGACCGTGATTCGAACCACGGCTAGTGCGTAAAAACCAAATTGTGTTCGATAACCAAATTGAAATGTATTTTATCTAGTTATTAACAAAAAAATACTCAAAGAAAAAATACTCTACGTTATTAGGCAGTGTTTTGTTTCTTAGTGTATTATTGTGTTAATTACAAAAATTATTATGTTTAATAAATATGAAGTGTATGTTTCCATATTGCCACACCAGTGTGGACACCAGCGTGTGGACACCAGCGTGCGGATACCAGCATGTGGACGCCGGCATGTGGACAACAGCGTGTGGACACCAGCGCACAGTGGTCCAAGAGTGAATTCTAGGCACTCAAAAGTCCTATTAATAAATTTGCAAAAAATATCAAAACAATTATGAATTATTAATTTTAATATGTTTCTTAGACATAATATAAAATTTCAAGGTCATATGTGTACCTGGACGTTTTTTATTGCTATTTAAAGTTCAGTTTTTATAGTTTGGCGGTTATTTTGATTTCAAAAAATAATATTTCGTTACAGTTTTTTTACCCTTTGATATTTTTAAAAAAAATGTTTAATTATATTTTTTTATTTAACAAGTAGATAACCAAAGGAAAAAAATATTTTTTTTAAAAAATGTTTTTTTTCAAACTAGTTATGATAATTTTGAACAAAAAATATCTGATGTTTTACATGTTTTTTTTTTTAGAGAGTAGTACTAAAATTTGCCATTTTTTACCCACATAGCAATACATAGGTGTTGTAGAACAAGTATTCAGGTTTTTAAAAATAATAATTTTTTTTGCGACAGACAAAAATTAATTAGTACACAAGGCAAATTAAAAAGTATGATTTTTCAGTTTAGCGAATATTTTGTTTTCAGAAAATATTATTTCGCTTACAATTTTTTTACCCTTTGATTTTTTAAAAAAATGTTTTAATTTAGTTGTCTACTAGTTAAATTAAAAAATTTAATTAAAAAAAAATCTAAGGGTAAAAAAATTGTAAGCGAAATAATATTTTCTGAAAACAAAATATCCGCTAAACTGAAAAATCATACTTTTTAAATTGCCTTGTGTACTAATTAATTTTTGTCTGTCGCAAAAAAAAATTAATGTTTTTAAAAACCTGAATACTTGCTCTATAACACCTATGTATTGTGATGTGGGTAAAAATTGGCAAATTTTAGAACTACTCTCTTAAAAAAAAAAACATGTAAAACATCAGATATTTTTTGTTCAAAATTATCATAACTAGTTTGAAAAAAAACATTTTTCAAAAAAAATATTTTTTTCCTTTGGTTATCTACTTGTTAAATAAAAAAAATAATTAAAACGTTTTTTTTAAAAATATCAAAGGGTAAAAAAATTGTAACGAAATATTATTTTTTGAAATCAAAATAACCGCCAAACTATAAAAACTGAACTTTAAATAGCAATAAAAAACGTCCAGGTACACATATGACCTTGAAATTTTATATTATGTCTTAGAAACATATTAAAATTAATAATTCATAATTGTTTTGATATTTTTTGCATATTTATTAATAAGACTTTTGAGCGCCTAGAATTCACTCTCGGACCACTGTGCAGCGTGTGGACAACAGTGTGTGTGGACACCAGCGTGTGGACACCGGCATGTGGACGCTGACGTGTGGACACTAGTGAATGGTCACCACCATTATGTGGACACCAGTGAGTGGACACTCATAAAGCACGATTTCATTAAACAAAATCAAAAGTACAACCATTTAAAACTGCATGACCAAATATACCATTAATGATAAAATCATAATATCGAGTAAGGTCAATTAATTTTAAACTAAATTAAATATTACCTATTAAAACAATCAAAAAAATGCAAAAGTTATTAGAAGTCTATTTTTGTTAAACTAACAAATTATTCAATCACTGTACAAACCATTTGACATAGCTAACCTCAAACTGATATATTAAATTATGAACAGAGTTAGTAATTATTATACATACAGTTGTACGAACATTATTTTTGTAAATAACATAAATCATAAATTATTTAAAATAGATTATTGAAGAAAAAGAAACATTTGAAATGTTAGGTACAAATATTTGTGAATGGGTAAATATAATTATAATTAACTATTTACATCAAAACCATCAAGAAAATGCTAAGAATTGTTAAACTTAAAGAAAGTTATCAAAAGTCTATTTTTGGCATTTATTTATATATTCATCTATTACGAGATATTTTACCATTTTGTTTGTACTTCCACGCTGTTTATGTAAAATGGATGCTGCTTTCGAGTAAGTAATTTATATCATAATATAATTAATGAATTTTTTATAATTTTCATTTACTTGGCCGGATTATAGATGTTCTAAGCTTTATATTCTTTTAAAATAATACAAAAATTAAATTCATAATGCGTTATGCATTTGCGTTAGCTATTTATTCTATTGAATGTCCTTTAGTATATTAATGTGTCATTAAAATTCCTCGCTATAAGAAGTTAAATGTAAAAATTTAATTATGTGAAAAAAAATTAATGAAAAATATTCAATTTTGTATAAAATATTTGCATTTATATAAAAAATTAAAAAATGATTATATAATTTTAATTAAAGTTTGAATTGAAGAGAAACAATTGAAATAAACATTAATAGGTATAATATATACAAAAAATTTAATTTTAAGAAAAACGTATAAAAGGAACAAGAATATTAGAAATTTACCATTTGTGTTTAAGACTTACACACTGAAACTATATAATTTCAACAGCAATCAAAAACATGAATTTTCTATTTCAACAAGTAAGTTTTACTAAAAATATTAAATACGTGTTTTTATTTTATTTTTTCAAACATGTTTTAGTACTTTATGTAGTTAACCTTTACAAGGCACTTAAGTTGGCAAATATACCATCTCATATTAATAAGAACCCACATTTTTTTTACAGTGTGTTATTGCTTCAAATATTATACATTACAATTATTTAAGAATTAAAGTTTAACCTTACAACGAGTAAAAAGATGATTATTACCTTTAAGCAATTCTCAATGAAATTCTACCTATTATATACAATTTTAAAACTATAACATTCATATCATGCTTTTGGTCAATTTTTCGAATACATAATTATAAACAAATTTATTTTTGTATTACATTTAAATTGATTTTAGCCATATTACATTGTAAGTTAGTTAAAATATTTAGAAAACCGCCAATTTTTAGAGCTATTTTTGATTTTTCAAATTCTGATATTTGGAATCGGCAGGTAATATAAATGGAAACCCCTAAATTCGTTTGTATATTCTGTTATCGATTAATATTTTAAATACAATTTTTAATAACATACTAACCGAAAGTTATTGCTATATAAAGTTGATGTTCGTTCTGTAAACAGAAGCATTTTTAGAAATATTCAAATCAAATAATAATTATAATCAGACAATCAGAATATAATTTAAAAAGTATGATGCTTTAAAAACATGCACTACTTTGGGGCTAAATTAAGAATTCTTTTGGATAAACTAGCTTTAATTTAGTTTACAAACTCACATTAGCAAATTTAAAAGCAATCTGGTTATCAAAATAATCTTTATGACCTAATTGTTTGGAACTACTCAACTACCGACTTAAATTAAGTTGTCAATTAACAAAATTTCTGATTTCCAAAATAACTAATGACATTTTTAAACTTAACTGTGATTTTGTTGTAAGTTCCTTATAACACTGTTTTCAAATATCTAGTTTTAAGACAATTTAATCATTTAAACAGTCCACTTTGTAGCATTCTTTTATTAATAAAGTTGTTTATATAAAAAAAAAAGTTAATTAAAAATTTGAAATAGACAAACCAAAAACTGTAAAAACAAAAATTTTGTTTTCAAAAATAAATTAATTTAAACACAAGAGGTCAGCCTGGTGTAACTTTTGTTGTTCTCTAGGTGATAGATTATCAACACAATTGATGAAAGAAAAAAAATATTTTCTTGGGCCATAATAGGAAGTGGCTTAACCGCCAACGAGATTGTAATAGGCGACTGCTCGGAGTTTAAGTGATTGAAAACTAGTTTTGGATAATTAACTTTAAAGTTATTTAAGTTTAAAATTTATGCCATATATAACATTATCTAACTAAACGTTATTTTTGTTTTTAGTCAATGTCAAATTAAAATGGATTTGATAACAATCGCATTTATAAGTTAGTTTTATTTTACTAGTTATAACTGACCGCACGTCTGTGCGCGGGCTAAGTTCCAACAATGTCAGTGTAACTCTTATAATGGGCTTTTGAAATTTGAAACATAGATTACACTTAAAGAGCTCCGGATGCTGTAAAAAATACCTGAGACCTTAATGTGTACCACGAAACTGAAAACTAAATAACTGCGGATATTGTAAGAGATATTGAGAGTCTTATCCTTAGTGAAACACTATGTATAGCCAATATATTTGCTAAATGAATTAATTCAACTAAAAAATGTTTGTAACTGATAGTGATTGTACAGTAGAAAGTTAGAACATACGTAAAATTTAAACAAATAATTATACTTTCGTTTGTTTATTAAAATGATTAAAAGTCACAATACTAAAAAGTAAGATAATTCAAGAAATTAATTCAATTTTTACCGAAATTTACAAAAATTAAATACTTGTAATATGTGTTTAAATAAAACATACGATTTTATGCAGCTGTACCCCTGGTTGCCAAGAAAGTTGAAAATAAAACGAAGATAGGAAATATGTGATCCCTGCAGGTAACACCAAAGAAAGAAAATAATTATTCAAATTTCTTTGCTTGTTGATGTTTAATAAGAATAATAGTTACCTATTGAACATTAAATATAAATATAAATATCTGTTATACACACTATTATCGCGATTCCTAATTATTTATTACATTTGAATCGTCAATATTTACTTGATTTTTAAAAACCATGAAAATCAATTGAATCATAATGGAGTGTCAATAATATATATTCAAATATTAATGACAACAATTTACTTAACAAACTGTTATTTTTAAGTTCAGCTATATTTATTAGTAAGACATTATGATTTATATCGTACTGATATTTGGGTTTTTTATATACGGCTTCTTTGAGTTTTATTAACTGTACGTTATTACATTAAGTTTGTTAGCTTCTTTATTATCCTATTAAATTATAATATGAATAGGTGGTAGTAGGTTTTTATTGAAATTCGATTGGTTGTTAAAATATATATGTGAAAATTTGCCACTAGGAAGGTAAAATTTAATTTCCACTAGGAAATTTCCAAGAACACAATGTATATCGCTACTATGAAACCCCAAGGTTAATTGTTTTAATTGAATTGACCATATTTTAAATATGACTGAATATATAAGAAACACATATATGATACACATGATATTTGAATACTTTGATTTTAGTAGTGCTTACTCACTATATGTACTAAAGCTAATATATTAATGATATGTGTTAATACTTATTGATTCAAAACACATACTTATATTAACATGTTGTTTCCAATTTAAATTTTGCTTAATAATATTTAAGAGAAAATTTAATATCTTTACAAAGTCATAGCTAACGACTAGATGGATAAAAATAAAAAATTCAAACGATAACATAATTTAAGAATTTTTGCCCACAAATTTATGGAATTATAAACATATGTTGCCATTTAAAAACGTGAACTAAACCCTTTTTATCGTATAAGGGATGGAGATAAACATTTTCAAAGTATTGAAAAACATAGTAAAACGTTTATCAAAAAGTATAGGAAAAAAATAATTTTCAAAATATTCATATTTCCGAGAAAATGATGTCTTACGTTAGTTGGATGACCCGGTACAAATGATATCGATATGTAAGTTTATTAAGATATTAAAAGGAACCAATTTATGGGAAATTTACTATTTGTGTTTCAAACAGTGAAACAATAATACCATTATATAAATAAAACATTTGGCTAATTTTATTACTCTCTTTGTATTCTAAAATAATGCTTATCTTTCGAAAATCCGAAAAGTCATAAAAGTTGTTGTTTGAAAACAGTAGTATAATTAAGAATGTTTCAAAGTCATTATGTGCAATAAATCTTACATAAATGGGGGAGAAAAACCAGTTTTTGACAGGCAATAATTAAAAATGGAAATATGATTGAAGCGTAATTTCATAAGGAACGCAAATTTAAATTCAAATAAAAACATATAAATGGTTCAATCAATATATAATTATGCTGTTTATGCAAAAAAGTCAATTTTGAAAAAATTGTCGCTTACGCCCTTTTACCTTCTTGTGTTGAAAATCAGTCCAAAATAAAAATGATATAACAAATATAATACCGAGAGAAAATCTGTAAAATGATATCAGTGACCTTAATGATCTTTCCAAAGAACATAAAAAATAACAACAGTCCATATATCTTTTATATTTACACTGGAATATTTATTTCGATTTTTTTTATCTTAAAAGATACATCGCCAAGTTAAGGGTTGAATTTAATTAACACAAATTATATTTATGTAATTAAAATTATGAGTATTTTTTGTCTGTAACCTAAAAATTATAATAATAATATTATAGCCCATTATTATCATGGTTAGTTACCATCATAATCCTAATTTTTTTTAAAAATAATTTTGATGTGATTATATTAAGAATTGAGTTAATTATATATAAATTATATGGTGGAAAGCTTAAAAGTCATTGATGTGGTTTTTTTA